CCCCCCAGACACGTACATGTAGGGTAACTCTGATCGCAAAACCCGCACTTTTTCGACGAGGGCGCCACCGAATTTTGAGGACACTTTTTTAATTCGCTTAAAGAGAGGAGTGAACTATCTTGTTATGCACGATCTTTGGTTTTTGTAAGGTTTTGCGCGTTTGTTTTTGAGGCCACGAGTCGGACGCGATCGGCTTGTACCGTGATAGCCGCTTTGTGCCCTCAATCTGTATAGCAAACCGACCAGACCCGACCCGACCCGACCCCCCCTCCCCCAATGGGCACCATGTTTTAGGTTATTTAAGAGGAGGGTACCTCCGAATTAAACGTCCATCTCCGAAAGGACCGAGCCAAGTGGGGCATTCGTGTAAAGTGTCTTTCCCAAGGACACAACGTCGGACCGAGCTGAGGCTCGAACAACCGAACCCGCAATCTCACGATTACGAGTCCTGTAGCCTAACCATGGTGGATACAGAGTTGTGGTTCATAAGAGGCATCCTACGTATCCCATGGACAGCTAGAAAAACAAATGAAGAAGTCTTGGTTGAAGCAAATCGCAGAAGACAGCTTATGACGAATATAACAAAGCGACAGGCAAATTTCTTCGGACATACAATGCGAAAAGAAGCATTGGAGAACATTGTAACAACAGGCAAGTTTGATGGAAAGAGACGCAGAGGCAGACAGAGGGAAAAGATACTGGACAAGTTGACAACATGGCTGGGAGCAGCAAGAACCACAGACACCATCGCTGCAACGAAAGACAGAGTGAAGTGGAGGTCCATGATCGCACACGCCAGTCGGCAAGGAACCGGATGATGATGATGATGATGATGATGATGATGATGATGATGATGATGATGATGATGATGATGATGATGATGATGATGAGCCTAACCACTAGTTTACCTCAGAACTACAAAGTTCTATCTGCTCAGTACCTAATTTTGAAAAATTTGACTTTAAAAAATTTGAACTTCGCATCATGTCAAGCTTTTTCGAATGCAATTCTTGGAATATCTTGATTAAGACACGGAATAATCTAACGATGTTAATTGATTAATAGAGCAGAAAGAACATAATTTAGTTTCTGACTTAATGGTTTGGGTAAGTCAAAATGACCCAAAACGTCAGACAGAACGTTGTAATTTTGAGGTAGTGACTGGACTAGCGACACCACGGTACACTGAGACATTATAAGGATGGTGCTGAGTACAGAATACTGTTGTGGTGATAGTCGTGGAACATGCCAAATGTTCCACAGAAATAAAAAGGAGAACTACAATGGCTAAGGCTAATTTCAATAAAATGAGCCCAATCCTGAAAAATAGAAACTTCTCAATGAACACCAAAATGAAAGTCCTGAAATGCTATGTTTGGTCAACCCTTCTATATGGCTGTGAATGCGGGACAATCACTAAAGACAGTGAAAATAGATTAGAAGCAACAGAGATGTGGTTTCTTAGGAGACTGCTAAGAGTATCTTGGAAGAAAAAGAAATCAAATGAGGTAGTGCTTGATGAAGCCCACGTGGGACGCTCAGTGTTAAAAACAATCAGAAAACGACAAATGCAGTTTTTGGGACACCTGAATAGACATAAGGGTCTTGAACATCTAGCTCTCACTGGCAAAATTGAGGGAAAACGAGGCAGGGGTAGGCCCAGAGCAACCTACTTGGGGAACTAAACAAATGGGTAACAGGAAAAGATCAGGGAAACGTAGTTTTTTGAGAGCATCCGAGCAAAGGAATGAATGGAGAACCATGATCGACGATGTCTGTCGCAGATCTGGCACTGGATGATGATGATAGTCGTAACCATAGGTCCCGCTTAACTCATTGAAGACGCAAACTCTGGTCACTCGAATGTTCAAAAAGTTTAAATTCGTTACCCATACATATTTTCCAAATCTAGTTATATTTCTTCTGAGACTTAAAAAGGGAAGACAACAAGATGTAAAATAGGAAGTGTTCAATCTTGTGTTTCTGGTGTGTGTGTAGGTTCAAAATGAGCCCCAACATTGCTTTCAATCTTGTGTTTCTGGACGGATAAACGTGTCCGATACGTCGGCATAGAGTTAAAAAACCCAATAACAAACCACACACACACTCTCTCTCTCTCTCTCTCTCTCTCTCTCTCTCACACACACACACACACACACACACACACACACACACAACACACACAACAAACACACACACACACACACACACTCACTCACTCACACGCACACTCGCACACATACACACACACACTCGCTCTTGCACACA